TCTAGAGAGAGGGGAAAAAAAGGAGGATCATAGATCACAGTCCAGGTGGATGGCCAGAGAGGAATCAAGACTAAAAACTAAACAGTGCACAAAAGAGTTGGAAATTTGGCAAAGCACTAGAGCATCTCCCTAGCAAGTGCAAGGGAGTCTGAGTTCAAACCTCATATTTAAAAAAAAAAAAATTAAAAGCTAGGAGTTGAGCACTTATAAGTTATAAAATACTTTCCTCCCACAGAAACATCTGTGGCCTGTTTGTATACTTAACAAAGCATGTGCTTCACAGACATCATTTGTTAGGTCTTAACAGTTTATCTTGCCAAAATAAACAGTGGTAACATATCTTAACAGGAACTTAAGAGTAGCATCCTTTGACCTACTAAGAAGCAAGACATCTTCAAAGTCATATCTTCATTTCTCTATCATAGTTTAATTAGTCACATATAGAAAAGAATAAAATGCAAAGTTTTTTTTTAAAACGTATTAACACCTTTCTGTTACTGAAAGTGCTCTTGACAATCCCTCCAATAAAGCCCTGATATTAGACAAAACAGATCACAAGTAGGATGTAAATATTCATTGAGTGACAATTAACATAAAGGCGATACACTGCTAAATTTAAACAAAACAAAACAAATAAAGTACCCTCTGTGTCCTTTTGGACACAAATACAAGTAACTCATCAGTCAAAGTGTGAGATAGTTGGTTGATGACATTTGGCAACTGGATCCTTCAGTCTAATCACAGAGCAGTGAAATCTAACCTAGTGCTTTTTCATACCTTGGCCCTGCTCCACAGTTACACTGGCCCAAACCCAGCAAAACAGCCAGCAGCAGAGCCAGCAGCATAGCCAACAGCACGTGCACAGAGATGACTCAGAAGACCAAGCTAGACATTATGTGCTCATGCTCTAGGTATTGTCAGGCCTGCTGCCAGCATGGCTTTGGAGAGGGGCTTAGGGCTTATAAGACTACTTGACCCCACTTTATCCATTTGGAAATGCAGGGTGGAGAAGGTAATCAAACTATGATATCAACACTTCTCTTTCAGTGCCCAGAATTAACTTGCAAGTATATAGGAGGGACTTTGCAGACCTTCTCTCTCTCTCACTCTCCCTCCCCCCCCTTTCTCTCTCTCTCTCTCTCTCTCTCTCTCTCTCTCTCACACACACACACACACACACACAAGCTTTTGTGCTTTGGGAATTATGCTGAATACGTAATTCCAAAATAGTTGGTAAATACTTTCTGAAAATGCCATAAAATGATATTTTGGAAGGAAAACTTTTAACATAGAAATTGGCTTCCCTTTTACACACTAAATTTATTTTCATAGCCTAAAATCTATTATCACTAAATGATTCTGAGTGTAGAGCATTTGGGGAAAAGCAAAACTACATGGACCATAAAAAAGATCGGGGGGGGGGGGGGGGGGGGCCTGGGAATGTGGCTTAGCAGTAGAGTGCTTGCCTAGTATGCCTGGATTTAATTCCTAAGTACCATATATATAGATAAAGCTGGAAGTGGCACTGTGGCTCAAGTGGTAGAGTGCTAGTCTTGAGCAAAAGAAGGTCAGGGACAGTGCTGAGACCATGAGTTCAAGCCCCAGGACTGGCAAGAAAAAAAAAAAAAAAAAGATCAGTGATTATCAGAGTCTGGCAGTGAGAGTACAAAGTGAAACTACTTTGTATGATCCTCTTATGGCACATGTTACTATCCATTTCCCAATCAACAGAGCAACAGAAGTCACACATAAAGGAAATTATGGAAATGACAGATTTGAAAAGATAATGATGTTTCAAAGCAGGTTCATTAACTGTAAGCAATGTGCAACTCTGGTGTGGACACAGATGCTAATGTCCAATGGGAAACTACATGTTGAGTGGATGGTTATAGAACTGCCCTAAAATATTTATACCTATGGTTATTTACATAAATCTGTTACCAGAAACTGTAAATGTATACACATAAATTTCATCCCAGAGTAGTTATAAATTTATTTGGTGAGAGTACTGCAAACAGCTTCAACTCCACCCCTAACAGAATAATACCGTTAGTAGTAGGTACTTAACTGTAATCCAATCCACTATAATACATTTCTTGTCATAAAGAGTTAATAGCTATTAAGACAACTCCAATTCTTTGCCCTGAAATTAGAAAGCTCTTTTTTGTTGATATCAAAATTCTTTTGTTTTCTCTCTTTTTTGTAAGGACCAATCCAAAAGCCATGAACATGCGAAACTACTGAGCTACATACATCCCCAGCACAAACTTTATTTTCACACACAAAAAAATTGCACTTATAACACGAGTCATTTAAGGCAAGTAAGATTCCAATGATTTGTTTCAAAGAAACAAGAAAAGATTCACATAAAAAGTACAACGACAGCCGGACACCAGTGGCTCATCCCTGTAATCCTAGCTATTCAGGAGGCTGAGATCTGAGGATCACGGTGCACAGCCAGCCTGGGCAGGAAAATCCTCGAGACTCTTATTTCCAATAAACCACTAGAAAACCAGAGTCCCGTTGTAGCTTAAGCAGTAGGGCATTCGCCTTGAGCTGAAGAGCTGAGAAATAGTGCCCAAGCCCAGAGTTCAAGCCCCATGACTGACAAAGACAAAAAAAAAAAAAAAAAAAGTCCAATGACATGGATTTGAGTAAATTTCACAGAAAATTTTATTTCTAAGGAGTAACTTTCAAAGAGGTTCCTTAACTTTACAAAACTCTGGATTTTCAGTTCTAGCCTAAGGTTGAGACTAGGCTATGATTCTTTTTAAGAACCTGAGAGTGAAAATAAAATCAACTACCTTGATCATATAGGCTTGGGTAAATTACCAAGAACACTAGCCAGCAAGATCACTAGTAATGTTCCCTTCTAGACAAGATGAAAAAATTAGGAACAAGTTATACAACCAAAATTTGCTTGCAATTAGAGAAGAGGGAAACAATAAAACTAAAAACCCACAGGTAAATTTAAGAGGGAAAAATCTCTCATCAATATAGCCAGCCTCCCTTCATTTTGCCTTCCCTTCTCTTCATTTTTTTCTTTTGTTTTGAGACAAGGTATCATTACAGTTCAAATCGAATTTGAACTTAATCTTCCAACACCCAGAGTGGTAGAATTATTGGTGTGAACCACCGGTTTGGTTCAATGTACTGTTTCTTAGAATCTAAGTGGATCATACAGAGTTGTTCACATTTCTGAATTTGCCAAGTTAAAAATTTACATGTACTAGCATACCTTAAAGCCCAATAACATTACAATATTTGTATTAACAAGATATATGGAAGACCAAAACATCAAAGATCCATACTTGTTAATGTTCTCATTCATCTGCTCTAAGTATGCTGATTGTTTATTGTACAGAAGCTGGTGGCTCGTGCCTATAATTGTGCCTTAAAGGACGTGAAAATCTGAAGATTATGGTTCAAAACCAGCATAGGCAGAAATGTCCATGAGACTATTTGTCTCCAATTAGCCAGCTAAAAAAGACAGATGTAGGGCTGTGGCTGAAGTGGTGGAGCTTGAGAGACAAACAAAAAATCCAAGCTAAAGCATGAAGTCCCATGAGTTTAAGTCCCAGTACCAGCACAATAAAAAGGAAGAATTTCTAAGTTTCTGAATATTATATCAAATAAATTAACCCATTATCTAGTTACATATATGTTTTAAAAGCAGACATCTAGTTTAACTTCAAAGTATCTGTTGAAGCAGGTACTGGAATCTGAAATCCTCCAAAAACCTGATTTAGTTAACAAGTATCTCTACAAGAATCCTATAGATAAGACAGGATTAAAAAGAAAGAAACAAAAACCAAAAGAAAAACTCCCAACAAAAACACCAGGAATCCATGCTGCAGTTCCAAATCTTTAAACATCATATTTGGCACATAGTAAGTATGCAATATATATTGACAGAATTGAATATCCAGCAACACTCCTAGTGGGCGGATATGACAGGGACTCCTCTACTTTTTCACATCCTAGTGTTCATTTCTAAGCTCAGGCCCTGTTGGACTTGATAATGTATCAAGTATTAGCATTAGAAATAATATAAGATACTATATGGAAGGTCAGCTAACAAATAAACTTTGCTGTAAAGCCGTGCACTGGTGGCTCACACCAGTAATCCTAGCTACTCAGGAGGCTGACATCTAAGGATTGCAGTTAGAAACCAGCCAGGGCAGGAAAGTCCATGAGACTCTTTATCTCCAATAAGCTACTCAAAAAAACCTGAAACTGGCACTGTAACTCAAATGGTAGAGTGCTAGCTAGCCTTGAGCACAAAGAGGCTCAGGGACAGTGCCCAGACCCTGAGTTCAAGCCTCAGGACCGGCACACATATACACAAAAAAACAGACTGTATCAAGCCCACTACAATGGCTCATGACTATAATCCTAGCTACTCAGAAAGCTGAGATTGCAGATCACTGTTCAAAGCCAGCCAATGTGGCAAAGTTTGTGAGACTCTGATCTCCAATTAACTACCAAAAAACCAGAAGTGGAGCTGTGTAAAGCCTTAAACAAAATGCTCAGGGTCAGTACCCAAGCTCCAGGACCAACACAAAAGATTTTCTATCGAATACAGCCAGACACCACTTTAAATTTTAAACACTAGTTCTGCACTAGGATTTAAGCAATTAGAACTTACTAATATCCAAGGCAATTTATATAATCCACCAAATTAATAAAACATTGAAATAATTTTTAATATGCATCTTCATTAAATTCACCCCTTCTGTTGTTCTCCCCCATCTTCACTGAAACTATTTTCTTTCTTTTTCTTTAAATTATTTACTGTTATTCTAAAGGTAATGTACAGAGGGGTTACAGTTACCTAAGTCAAAAAATATGGGATTATCTGTTGTGGGCTTGGCTGTTGAAGGAAGTTTGCAGCCTTGCAGCTTTTATTCTCAATGCAAAAATAAAGCTTAGAACTTGTTAAAGGGACATTAAAATAAAGTTTTAAAGTACAAAAGATAATTGGCCATGCAAGAAAAAAAAAAATATGGGAACACTTCATGAATTTGTATGTCATCCTTCCATAAGGGCCATGCTAATCTTCTCTGTATTGTTCCACTTTTAGTATATGTGCTGCCAAAGAGAGTACTCACTGAAATAACTCTTGCAATACTTGAAAAAATATGAATGTCTTCAAGTCATAATGGTAGCCAGTTTTCTTCCAAATAGAGCTAAAACTATTACTACTACAAAAAAGAATAATTTTAATGTACAAGGCTTAAAAAACATTCGTGCATCTTGGAAATGGCGCTGTGGCTCAAGTGGGAAAGCGCTAGCTTTGAGCTGAAGAGCTGAGGGACAGTTTCCAGGCCCAGAGTTCAAGCCCCACGACCAACCAAAAAAAAAAAAAAAAAAGTGCATCTCATTCCATTTTTTCTGCAATTGGTTTGGCCAGAGAAATTCGTGCATGCACAATAGGTAAGTAGAGGCTAGCCAGCCATCTAGCTCTGTATCTGTTCATCACTGTGTTCTTTCCTAGTTATCCAGAATTACTGTGGAGAAAATGGCAGAATTCTCAAACAACTGATCCTTTCATGAGAAAAGGTTCAATTATACTATATAGTTACATTGTGCTGATACTATCATTCTAAACCATAATTTTCAACATCTTAACCCTTTTCCTGGTTTCACAGCTCAGCTCCAGAGTTCCCTACATTACTTTATCACTCACACACCCCAAAATTTGTGCTCTGAATGTGTCTATTCATAATTTGGCTTCAATCTCACCTATCTCTTTTCCATCAAGTAATTAGAGGATCTAAATCCTGAATGCCAACCCTCGAGCTGGGAAGGTGGCTCAGTGGTAGAGTGCTTGCCTTGCATGCATGAGGCCCTGGGTTCGATTCCTCAGCACCACATAAACAGAAAAGCCGGAAGTGGCACTGTGACTTAAGCAGTAGAGTGCTCGCCTTGAGCTGAGGGACAATGCCCAGGCCCAGAGTTCAGGTCCACAACCGGCAAAAAAAAAAAAAAAAAAAAAGAATGCCAACCCTTATTCACTTGATAAATCACAAAATTGTTCTACTTCATCAGGAGCTTTCCACCAACTTTTATCAAGTAAGCTTCAACACTTTATCCTGCTGGATGGTGGTCAGATAAGGCTACAAATGTATTTTTATAAAATTTTATAAAGTACATCTACGACTCCCCTTTACATACTTTCTCTCTCTCTTTCTCTCTCTCTCTCTTCTTTCTCTCTCTCAAATACACATGGCAAAAACACATTTACCACGGTCCTGACAGCTATTCTGTTCATGTGACTCAATATATGGCTGCTTCTCTGATGATTCTACTTTGGACATGACTTCAAACTTTGTTACTGACAAAAGAAACTAAGAAATAAACTAGAGAGCTCGTCATACTTTCCTCAAATTTTAATGAACTGAATTAGTTCAGTCTCCGCAATTAGTCTCTGCAATTAGTCTCACTTCTTCATTGTAGCAACAGAAAAAGTTCTTGAGGTTTCAGAAGACCTCAAGAAATACCAAGAAAGTTTAACAGCTCCAGAACAATTTGACTAAACACTGGAATTGCTTTCTAGACTCCCAGTTCACTGCTTACTAAGGTACAAGCATGATGCATTCTCTTCACACAAAAGCTAAAAACAAAGCAGTAACAAGATTTTTAAAACACACATTAGAAGGCTGGGAATGTGGCTTAGTGATAGAGTGCTTGCCTAGCATGAAGCCCTAGGTTTGATTCCTCAGTACCACATAAACAGAAAAGGCTGAAAGTGGCTCAGAATAATGAATTTTCATACCCAATGTGGTCTCTCCTGGGGAAGGGCCAATATGGGCTCAACTGGATCCATTCATAATTTTCTGATACTAGTATGCTCAAGACGATAAAAACACTGAGCTTGAAATAGCATTTAAGGGGATTTCTTCCATCTTCAGGCAAATCATTTACACAGGGCCTGCTAAGACTTTAGCTATTACATGTCTGCCCAATATGACTTCCACAATGCAAAACTTTACAAAAAGTTTTTTTCTCTTCCTATTACCATAGATGACCAATTATTTGAAAAGATATGTAAAATGTAAACAGATCAATGGAAAGAAATCAGGAGATTAAATTAAACAACACTTGTCTTGAGACCTATAGGTCCATCCTAACTTGAACATGCCTTCTTTTTAGTGAAATTGCACAAGACACATCTGCTACTCCCACAGTGGAGCTACCTAGCTACATTCCAATATTTCTAGTGAAACCTGAACAGAAAAACTGTCGAGCTGTCATCCTCGGGACCTAAAGTAATACATTCTGAACATAAAATTAGCAAACCAGGGCACCACTGACTCATGCTAGCTACTCAGAAGACTGAGATCTGAGGATTGCGGTTCAAAGCCAGCCTGGACAGGAAAGTCCCTCAGACTCTTATCTCCAATAAACCACCAGAAAACCAGAAGTGGCATTGTGGCTAAAGTGGTATAGCGCTAGCCTTGATCTGAAGAGCTGAGGGACAGCACCCAGGCCCAGAGTTCAAGACCCATGAACTGACCAAAAAAAAAAAAAAAAAAAAAAAAGGAAAGGCAAGCCAAGAACATCACATACCTCCCAGCAAGTCTTTAAAATGTTAGGAACACAATCCACAAAAAGAAACTGAAAGTAGCTGTGTTTCTAATTATGGGACCACATGTTAAATCTTTAATCTACCAGGCTTAAAAGAGAAAATAAACAAACCAAGAGGGAAAGGAAAAGACAATGAAGCCATGGTGCAGGAAATCTAGGAATGTTTTATCAATAGAAAAAGAGTTAGAATAAAGTTTGAATACTTGACTTTTCATAGCCTTTCATGCTTAGAACATGTATTACCCTCCTGAGGAGTTTAGATCCCATATACTATGGGATTTTATTATTTCTTTGAAACTTATATTGTTCCATTACATTAATCCCTAACTGACCTGTTTTTTCCTCATCAAATCATCAACTACAGAAACACAATCTTTTCTGAGTTCTTTAAGCTCTGTAAAGATCTGAAGGGACAGGAAAAATGGATATTGCTAGCTCCCTACCAAAACAATTCATGATTATACAAGTAAATAGATTAGCTACAAATACAGATTTTATTCTTTAATATTTTTAAAGGAATTCATTAAAAATTAAGTTTCAACAATTTAATAATTACTAGGTAGAAAAAAATCAATTTCAGTGATTAATGTTATAATAAAAGTAGCTATGCTGCTAAGGGTCTTTAGTCCTCTAAATATAAATAGAGAATTTTTAAAACATCTGAATATTTGTATCAAATAGGTTTTTTGGTATTGCCTTAATTTTTAACATAAATTAGATTCTACCCAAATATACTACTAAACCTTAGTATACTACCAAAAAATTAAAAGCACTGCCTCATCAAATTAAGCATTACTACAAAGATTGGAATAAAATTATTTTTGCCTAAGTTTTGACGAAGCTCAAAGGTGAAAAATCTTAAATATATAATTATGCACACTCATGCCATACCAGGAAGTTATCAGCACTCTATAAACATTGTTAAAATGAGCTTGCAATCTCTCGTTTAATAGAAGCAGTGTCTTTCAATTATCTCAAAATTAAAATCTTAGGACCAACAGATTTCATCTATTAACCTGATTTGAATTGACAAATTTTCAAAGCTCATGTTTCCAAACGTATTTTGCCACTAATTTACACACAGGAAAAAACAACTTTAACAACAGCTACTATATCATTGGCATGAGAAAACATTCCAAAGACAGTATGTATTTCCTTAAGAAAGACAGACATGATTTATTTCAGAATATCACTCACCACTTCTTCCAGTGCAGCACTTCGCCCAAAAGAACAAGTGAGGTGTGTGAGGCAGTTAACAAAGGAGGAGAAAAGTTCACTGGGAATGGCAGTTAAAACACTTCGAGGAAACACAGTTATCAGATTGCTGATAATGCTAGAGATTCCCACAGCTTCAGAATCTTCTATTTCAATCCTATAAATCAAGTAATGAGGATTATTAAGTCTATAACATGTTTCCAAATACAAGTATCAACAACTAATTTTTAAAGGTATATCGCGGTATGTTCATTTCAACTTAGCTATACAGCTCAACTTTAAAATACAGACCAGAGAGAGGAACTACTAGTTTCCTTTCCTTCCATTGTTTAAGGAAAAAATGGGATGTTTCCCTTTCAGTTATAAAGGGCAAGTATACCTACCCATTGATAGTATTCAGTAATCCCTCAATAAAGTGTGCTAGATAATCGACTTGGGATCCTTCATCCGGGAAGATGGGTCCATGAAGAGAAGCTAACTGGGCAAGGCACTGCAGAGAATCTTGTGCCATATCTGAATCTTCTCTGATTTTTCGGTGTACCTGTTAGAAAGAATTACTAATCCATAAAAATAAATTCTTCTTTTATAAGGGTCATGTGTCTACCAAGCCAAATAATGTACGAGAAAAATTCACCACGGCTGGACATTTCTAGAAAATTAATTCCTGAACTAAACTACATTTGAAAATTACTCCTCAGTAAAACTGACATGCTGGCCATGATTTTAACCAAATCTACTATTTGTTAACTGAAGGCTCCCTATATTTTGAAAACTGAACTGTCTCCAGCATGTTATGACAAAGAGAGGAGCAGATGCCAGCCAGTCAGACATACTGCTTCTTCTAAAAACAGCAACGACAGTCATCTGTATTATGCTAACTATGCCTCACTACAGCTTCTTGCTAAAGTTAGCAGATAAGCTCAATCTAGAGTATATAGGTGCTGCCTTAGGGAAGTAAACAGTTGCCTACTTAGAAAACCAGTATGTCACTCAGTCCCCAGACATTCATTCATTGAGTCAACCAACATATACACATATATTTACATTAATTCTGAGAGTGCCTATCATCTTCTTAAGCCTTAAACATCATTGCTACAAATAATACAATTTTTAAAAAAACATTTTAGTTAAATTATACACAAATTCATTTAAAGACTTTCCATGTGAGAACAACAAGGGAAAGGATAATAATGCTCGACAAGAAATGTACTCATTACATTACTCATGTAACTCTAACCCCTCTGTACAGCATCTGTACAATAAAATAAAATTTAAAAGAAAAGAAAATCTTTCATTTTCTTG